AATCGTTTTAAACAATTAAAAACAAAGCATTTTGACAAAAACTTTCTTAAACATGTTTTTAACTGATATAGTTTTGAAAGAACCGATTAAAATCACTTAGAATGTTCAAAGAAATGTTTTTACAGTATTTTAATCGATACAAATTACTTTTAATCGATTAAAACCCTTTAGAAACCATTATGACTGATCAGATTTAAAATATGAGCGATCAGAACTTATTTCAATCGATTAAAAACGTTTCAATCGATTAAAATCACTTAAAGGGTCAGAATGATCGATCAGAATGCAGTTATGACCGATCAGAGTTGGTTATGATCGATCAGAATTGAATTATGACCGATCAGATCTGTTTCAATCGATTAAAACGCATTTCAATCGATTAAAACAACTTGGAAAAATTTTGTACTAAGTTTTAATCGATTAAAACTTCTTTTTATCAGTTAAAATAACTTGAAAAGTTTTATAAGAAAGTTTTGCAAGTATATCAATCGATTAAAACACGAAACAATCGATTGAATCAAACTTAGAAAAGTTTTGTAAAGTGTTTTAATTGATATAATCGTTGTAGTATCAGCTAAAACAAATCTGTTAAAGAATCAAGAACGTATTAATGGATTGAAAGGACTTTTAACAGATTGAAACGGCTATTTCAACAGATTAAAACAAACTTTCAACAGATTAATTAATGCAGCAGTTTTGAAAATACTCTTTAAAAACAGTTTGGCTTGAACTTTTTAAACATACATTGAACATCAGTTTTTACACATCCTAAGCAATCATTCAAGCAACCTTTAGCATCCTTTTTCAAGAAAGATTCACAAAAGTTTTTAGAAGTTCTTTTGTAAATCTTTCTTGAGGCAACTTGCATACTTTTGAAGAAGAAACTCTCTGCAGATTTGGATAAACTGGTTTGAGCTTTCTAGTTTCTTCTTTGTAAATTCTTTTTCATTCTTTTGTATTGTGTTGTGCCTGGAATTTGGGCACAAGTTTCTCTGCAGCTGGAAGTTGGTTGTGGAGGTTATCAAGAACTGGAATGTGGTTCTTGGTGAAAGGTTTGGTGCCTGGAATTTGGGCACTGGTTTCTCTGCAACTGGAATTTGGTTGTAGAGGTTATCAAGAGCTGGAATTTGGTTCTTGGTGGAGAGGTTAAGTGCAGGAACTGGAATTTGGTTCTTGTGATAGATTAGGTGTAAGATTGTTGAATCTGTAAAACATTTAATCTAGTGGAACCCAGCTGGAATTTGGCTGGAGACTGGACGTAGCCCTGGTATTGGGTGAACCAATATAAAATACCGGTGATATCTTCCTTAACCTTTCTCTCATTTAAATTCTGTTTTTGCGCTTATTTTGATTGATTGCTTTACGATTCAAGAATAGATTAGTAAACTTAATTTTCGAATTAGATAATCTGTGAATTGCGAAAAACTTTCACAGATCAATTCACCCCCCCTCTTGATCTCAAACTACTTTTCAAACATTATGTGGCTAGCTGTGTTGGGCGTTTCGTTTGTAGATCAACACTTGCTCAAGTGACGAAACCATCGCTTAAGCAACAAAACCTTCAAACAATGGGGATTCTCGGGTTCTGTCTCGCTCAAGCGACGTTATGATCGCTCGAGCGACAAGTGATTCGAATATGTGGTGACCCATGTCATATTATGTGGCTACCAGCGTTGGATGTTTCGTCTTCGGCCAACACTCGCTCAAGCGAGAAATCCATCGCTTGAGCGAGGTACCCTTACAAAAAATAGGGACTCTCGGGTTGTTTCTCGCTCAAGCGACGTTATTCTCGGTCGAGCGAAAAGTGATTCAAATATGTGATTATCCATGTTACAGTATGTGGCTAACTACATTGGACATTTCGTCTGTGGCCAAGGCTGAACTTGAATGAGACGTGACATGCAAATTTCAATCTGTTTTTTGTTAAGCGCATTCTTTACAACTATTAAGCATGAAGTTATCTGTTATGTACAAAGATGATATGTAAACATATACATCTTTCCTACAATAAATCTTATCACTTGTACAATTTCCATATGCTAGTTTATATTGTTCTCTTCCCTTGTTCTTTTAATCTGAATTTCTTCTTTTATATTACATATCAACATCTTGCCATCAGAAATTCAAATGGAAATTAATGACCATTTTGATAAGTCATTATATTTCCATATTTTCTTACCTTTTTGTACTTATTTTAATTAGTGTTTTGGGCTTAACTTTCTGTTATTAATGAATTTTTATTTATTGGGCTTCATTGGGCCAGTAATTCAGATTTTAATTAATTTGAATCTCTTTGATCTAATTTTTTTCTCATTATTATTTTCAGGATAGTTTAAAGCACTTTTTGGCTTGGAAAATTAGACCAGATGTCATGTTAGTTGTCCATTAGGATTAGAGTTTTTATTTTATTTGTTTATGATGTGTTTTGTGGGCCAGTTAGGCTCAAACCTAGATTAAGATTAGGGTTATTTATATTAGTGATAACGTAGGGTTAAAGGAGACACATCACGCAGAGGCACATCACGCAGTCGCATCCTCGGAACGTCAATTTCTTCTTCTGAATTTTGTATTCAAGTTTGTTTACTCTTCTATCATTATTTTAAATTCTTGTTTCGATTTGAATTATGTCTCTTCTTCTGCATTTTTTTATTTTCCATGGATAGCTAAATCTTTGTATTGATTTTTTGAGAAGAATGTAGTAGATCTTTGAGGTTTTGTTCTTTTATTCCGTTTGTTTTCTTAACTTTTCATCTTCTGATCTCAGTATTGAATTATAATATGTTTATGCTTAATAAACCGAAAACCAATATTTGCTTAAATGAGATTATGTGATGTATGCAATGTTTAATTGTATAAGGATAATCTGAGTTAATCTTCACTTAGTTGATTAATTTCGGGTTGGAATAATGGTTAAAACAATTTAATTTCGTAACCTAGGATAGGTGACACTGCATTCGAACTAGGAAATCAATTGTTTTCTCATTGTTTTATTTAAATTCTATTTTAGTTAATTTACTATTTATTTTACACAACCCCCTTTTCTTTTCAAATTTAATTACTGCATTATTTTATTTTAAAGCAATTCTTGATTTTTGAAATTTTAATTAAAATCACTTTATTTTAATTTTATAAATTTTAGTTATTTAAATTCTGCATCAATTTATTTCTCTTTCACTCTTGCATTCATACTTTATTTAATGTTTTAGAGATAATGATATATGTTAATAAGTACGTTTTTATAATTGTGTTTTTGTGAGATTCGACACTGGTTAACTATATTGCATTAGTTTAGCAACTTATTTATTAATTTTTATCAAGTATTTTGTACGATCAAACTATTGTTATCAATAATCATTCAACGTTAGGAACAAATAATAAAAGAAGATAAATTTGTTAATTTTCGTAATACTTATTTTTAAGTTGTGTTTATCATAATTTTCTTATATATTTATATCATAAAATTTACAGGTTATATAAAATAAAAATTAAAGTCTTTAACTTAAAAAAAAAGAATTAAATTCATGTTCAATGATAAATATCAATATTTATTTTTTTAGGAATAATAAATTGGATTATTTTCATTTTGACATGTCTAATCGTGTAACTTGTCAATGAAGGATAAGACAAACTAACATTTAAAAAAAATTATATATTTAAAATAAAAATAATTATAATTAAAAATATTAATTTTTTTATATTAAGTAACTAAATATATTATAATATTATAATTTTAATTATAAACACTAATAGAAATTATTATTTATAATTAGGTATTTTAATGCATAAATATAATATTTTTTAATTTATCTAATAAAAATATTAATTAATAAATATAAATTTTAAAGATATATTTTTTTAAAATTAATGTAAATTTTTTTATATAAAAAACATACCAATGTACTAACTAATTGGTAAGTTATCTCGCACTTTAACACAAACCACTCAGTCGTTTTATCATGGAGAACATATTTTATTATTGATTTCATTGATAATGCATCATATTAAAAAAAGACTTGCCTAAAATTTCCACTTCATACAAGAAACTATACTTAAAAAAAGAAACATGCTTTGAATTTCTAAGTTTTTACTTCGTAAATGTGGAACCAGACATTCCTTAGATTCATGTATATATTTATTTATTTATTTCATTTCATATGACATGGTGTGGTTGTTTTAACTGAATTAATGTCTCGAAATTATGTAATCGAATGAAATCTTGTAGATGATTTTGATATTATTGTAGTGTTCATTCAGGACTGATGAAAAAGCTAATGCTCACTTTACAAATATCAAAATTGCATAGCTTTTTGGGAGCACTTTGTCCCAGGATCAAGCTAATGATATCCATGGTTAAGGCTCTGCATCAATCTTTGGGGATAAGTTTGACCCCACCAAGGACCTAAACTTAAGATATTTCATAACTTTAAGAAGATAAATAAACTCATTTAAAAAGAAAAAAAAAATCTCAGAAACTAACAAAAAAAGAAATAAAGAGCTAATCAAGCATGCATCTATTGAGTTTATGAAAATACTTTTCCCAGTTTTTAGTGCTTGTGTGGAAATTGATAAGTGGTTTTTCAAATAAAAAATGAGCAATTTCTCCTTTTTTGGAGATACCAATTTCAATATAGGCCAGTTTTGTAGGTACCAAAACGTTATTTAATCCAATGTTTAACTATATACTATACTGATATTGTCATGATGATAATCACAAACAGAAAACATCATCAAACAGTTGAGTGAAGATGACTACAAAGGTATTGCAAAGGTAGTTAAATTATGATGAACAAAAAACCATGAGAAAAACTGATAACATAACAAGATATAGAAAAACCAAATGCTTTTATTCAAGATGAACAACTGTAGATTACATTGATACTACCCTCAGAACAATTAAGAACAGAGAGCATCATCATGCAGCAAAGGTTACATAAAGAGAGCTAGATTTTGAACAAAAAAACACAAAAGTAAAACTGATAACTTATCAGTGAACACAAAAACTAAATATCATGAGAAACAACAAGCACTTGTTTTCCAACATTGCGGCCACTAAAAAGGCCAACCAAAGCTGAAGGACCATTCTCAAGACCCTCAGCTATGTCTTCCACATACACAACCTTCCCTTCTCTGATGTTAGGCAGGAGAAACTCCAAGAATTTGGGGTATAGGTGAACCCAATCGATGAAGTTAAAGCCTTGCAAACGCACCCTCTTATATATGATTTGTGCCAAATTTGTTACACCTTCATGTTCAGTAAGATTATACTGTGATATCATTCCACAGACAGGTATGCGACCGTGGAGTCTCATGTTCAGGAGTACAGCATCGAGTGTCTTGCCTCCAACATTCTCAAAGTAGACATCAATGCCTTCTGGAAAGTGCCTGATTTGTAGATTGGCATACACTAGTCACTATAGGCACAGCAATTGAAACTTTTGATGGGCATAGAAAAGTGAGATCTAAATTTCTTTAGAATCTGTAAAGTATAGACCTTTTCAAAGCTGCATCAAGGTCAGGCTCTTCCTTGTAATTAAAACCTCCATCAAATCCAAATTTATTCGTAAGTAGATCCACCTGATAATGAAAGAAATTAATGTTCAAGTAAAAGGACTAAGTATTTTTCTCTAATAAAGCAGAATCAATATGATCACCATGATCCTTTACCATATTCTGTTTCTATCAGAAATTTAGGAGAAAAACAAGTACTAATCTCATTCAGTGACACAAGTCGTTTTTGTAAAATCTTTCTTCCATTTTTTTATGAGGGAAGTGACTTGGATTCCACAGTTTAACTGAACTTACGCATAGAACCATAAGGTAGTATTTCTTGTGCCGAAAGCAAAAGTAGTGTTCCAAACAACAGAACAAATAAGAAATAGGTGATGGTGATATATGCAGGATGGCAAGTATATTTAGCTTCAACAATTACAACAATACCTTCTCTTTAGATCCAGCACTTCCAACTACATAACAACCATTGAGTTTAGCAAATTGTCCAACAAGTTGACCAACTGCACCAGATGCAGCTGAGACAAAAACTTTGTCTCCTTTTTGGAGAGAGCCTACTTCAAATAGACCTGCGTATGCAGTCACTCCTGGCATACCTGGGTAAGAAGAAGAAAACGCATTATTAAATCAAGCCACGCCACTGAAAAAAGGGTATCTATTAATGACAAAACTTCCATATATTGCAACATGCAGTTGACAATGTAATAGGTGAATCCAGTGTAAAGTGAAATTACTGAACACATACCAAGAATTCCAGTGTAGTAGGTGAGTGGAACATCAGTGTGCTCAATTTTGAAAAGTATTTGAGCTGAGGGTAACAAGCTATACTCTTCCCACTTGGTAAAGCTCCACACTAAATCACCTTCCTTATAATCTGGGTGTCCAGACTCCAAGACTTTAGACACACCATATCCTGTTAATGGCTGCAATCACTCAACAATTATCACTAGAAGCAAAGATATATCCCTCAATTTCACTTTCCATTTGAACGTTCTTGGATTAACTTCACTCTGAATTCAAAAAGTAAAATGAAAAACTAAAACAATAAGAGCAAATTAGTAGATAAAGAGGTTTTACAGTATCATTCAATTCACAATTGCCTTATACAATAAACTTGTTGGCTTTCACAACAGTTAGCTTAAAAGTCATAATTATCACAAATTCTGATTGGTTGATGGTGTGAATAGCAACTAAACTCAAAGAATCATCACACAAAGTTAATAATTTTAAGCACAAATTGCAAAACCCACTTCCTGAAATGCATCAATTCTTTCTAATTCTCAAAGAAAGTATTAACTACTCGTACTAATTTAAACCTTTCAATTACACAAATCAGTCTCCGGTATCATCAACGTGCCAACAACTGCATCTTTCAAATCACACAAACACAAGTCAATATTTTTGCAACATTTATTTCTTAAAGTCAAAAAGTAAAAGCAATATTTTTTAAAGAATCAAATTACATAATTTGCAGCAGCAACAAAAAAAAAAACTTACGGATCCAGGAGTGTACGCACGACTATTGGGGGTCCTTCAGGTTTGTTCATGAGATTCCTCATGTAAGGGTCACAGGACAAGTAAAGATTTTTGAGCAGGACATCATTGGAACCTTGTGGAAGCTTCAATGTTATGGTACTTTCAACAATGTTCATGTCGGATTCTTTTGGAAAACCGGTGACATGGTCCCGCAGAAGCACTTGCTTGTTCCTCACCTGTGCCATCTTTGTTACTCAACTGGGTTTTTGAGTCTCAATTCAGTTCATTTTATAAATAAAAACTTCAGGGAAATCTTGAATGGGAGATAATGATTCCAAACCGAAAGTTACCTCAGCAATGATGATGTTGCTGACAAAGGAGTTTTCTTTTCCAATATTGCCCTTGCTCACTGTTTTTTTAAGCGCTTAAACGCAGAAAACGTGATGGTGAACTTGTTTTCACCAGGAAAACTTTAGGTGATTAGACTAACGTGTTCTCTTGACACATTTCTTCTCCTTCTCCGATCCTTATTTTTCTAACACAAAACTTTCTCATTTCTTCTTCGATGTCGACCTCGACATTCCTCACGCGGTTGTGAACTTGTCCAACTTGTCAGTCGAACTCACTCACCACCGCATTGTACAATTTTTCCGGCAACATCGTCAACGTGGTTCCATTGTCAACAACCACGCCGTCATCCCCTATGCGGTTCACGCTCGGCAGCATATTCGGCGCGAGGATAGTCCTCTCCCCCATGGATATCCCGGCAAGTCCAATGCAGTAGAAATAAGGATGCTTCGAGTTCCAAAGCATGGATTCCTGTGGAGGTATAATTTCTTGTTTCTTAGGGTTGGATCCATAAATAAATTTAAATAATTACTTTATTCCTAAGTTGACGCTGCTATATCTTTTTCCTTTGCTACTCTTTCACAGTTCAATTGTCTTGAATGTTATATTGCAATGGAAAAAAGCTAAAGCAAGCAATACTTTCGAGTGCATTACGGTACTCATATTTGTGTGTGAAGTAGATTAAACTGTTAATTTGGCGTGAATATTTTTCAATTGGTGTGTTTGGATGTAGCGAGAAAATCATGTAATATTTTTTTGCACAAAAATCTGATAAAGTGTACTTTCTGATGTCGCCAAGAACCCAACTTTGGAAGATGTTGACAATGTAATCAGCTTTCAATTGGGTATAGTGCCATGGACATTTCTATATTGAAATTGACAATGTTCATTATGAATTAGTAAATTTTTGTATTGGATATTGGGGTTGATATATGGTTTTTTCTTACTACATGTTATTGACCCTTAGTAATGAAAATGAGTATATGCTTTGACATAACTTTTATGATATTCATTGTTAGATGATACTCAGATTGTTGTCATGAAATACTTGTATGAATGTGCTCGACCTGTAGTAAACGTCATGACAGTAAATAAATTTTATACTATGAACTCAAATTAAATAGGGTTACATGTATTTGCAGTTTGAAATGGAAAGCATAGACGATGGATCTTCAAATGTTAAGAAGGTGAATGTTGTATCTATTTATATAATATAGGATATTGTTGATGATAATTATAATTATTTAATGTGATTTTCAGGTATATTTGCGACATGTTTGCAGGACTAATTATTTGGGTGAAGTGAATATCTGGTTGGAAAGTATAATTGGGGAAAAGCAGTATATGAATATCTGGTTGGAAGTTTATGTGAAGCATTGATTTATTTGAAGAAACGAAGAAATTGTTCACACTTCCGTGTACTAGGATGTGTGTTTTTGTTACAGGTAAATCTTAAATTACGATATATGTTGTTAGAATACTTTCAATATAGTCAGCTGCTTTGATATTGTGCATTTTGTTTATATGAATTCAGGTATGGGTTATGGAGCATGTACTTTATAATACCAAATCATGTAATGAGATAAGTCGATTTCCGAGATTTTTACAATGGACCTCTGTTGTAATTGGGGAAAGCAAGATTGTAGTTGCGTTTAATCATAATAGGGTTAGTTCATTAAAAATTTAGTAGAACTTGTTTGCAATATTACTTTACCATATGTCAAAATGTGATTTCAATTTGACATTGTTTGTTACTCATAGGTTATTCATGACTTGTGCGTCAGAAATGAAGAGTTTGCTCATGATATAGTGAAAGAAGCATTAGGACATACCACTTATGCATCTGAAGAAGTGAAAAATTTTACTAATATGTTGTGTGGAATTATTGCTGAGAATCAAATGTTGATCGCCGAAACCAAACAACATGAATCAACAATTGAAAAACTAGAGGAAGATGTAACACAATTACACGAATTGTTAGATGAAGCAAAACTATCAACAGAAGAAGTAAATCCTCCATCATGTGGGATGTACTTTTCTCCAGTATTTGAAGGTAGTAGTATTAAAGAGATGAAGCATCATGTTGAAGCAATAGAAGAATCAAAGTTGCATTGTGAAGGGTCAAATATGTATACGCGACTTAAAGGTCATCCAAGAATAAGGTATAAAAGTTTTATGGTCAAAACACCGTGGACGACTAATTCAAGGAAAAGAAAAAAGGCGACATAATGTTGAACATTCAAGGTCTTGATGTTGAACTTGATGGACATGAAGCTTGTTGATTTTGATGATGATTCAAGAACACAAGACTTAGAGAGTTGAAGGCTTGCTTTGTAGTGTAATAACTCTATGTTTGATTAGATTGAGTCTGTAATATTTGAGTTTGAGATAGCCGGTACATAGTCTACACCTTAGAAGCTTCAAAAAGCTCAAATTTATCAAAGAGGCTCAGCTTTAATCGACTAATTGGTGAAATAATCGATTAAAACAGTGAGAAAAACCATTTTCTATATCTGCTCACTGGTTTAATCGATTAACACCCCTGTTAATCGATTAACAACCCTGTTAATCGATTAACAACCCTGTTAATCGATTAACAGGTCTTTTAATCGATTAAAACAGAGAGTTTTGGGGTTCTGTTGATTTTGGCTCTGTAATAATCGATTAACACTTCATTTAATCGATTATTTCAGTCAGATTTTGATTTTTAACTTCAAATCAACCCTATTTTCGAAAACCCTATTTCCAAGAATCCTAGTTTCGAAATTCCCAATTCCCAAACCCTAATTTCTCTACTTAAGCTTCTCTATGGCACTCAGAAAAGAAGAACAACCTTTTTCATACAAAAGTTAAGTGCTGTGAGTGCTAGAGAACTGTTTGTTGCAAGAAAAAGGGGCTTTTGGAACCTGGTGTGGGCTAGAAGCGATAAGAATCACTAAGTGGAGTTCTTAGTGGATTGTGTGTTGTGCCGTCTCTAGGGAAAGTTGTTCTTCATCTCTTGTGGATTTCAAGAGAGGTGTTTTCTTTACTTTATCTTTTCATTGTAATTTGTTTGTAACAATTGTGATCATAGTGACAGCGTTAATCCTCTATTTGAGTGATTAACAACTGGACGTAGGGTCTTTTGATCCGAACCAGTATAAATCTCCTGTGTAAGATTCTATCTCTTCTCTATTTATATTTACACAGTTTTTAATCGGTAAAATTTGGGGAAAATTTTGAAAACCTAATTTTTGTTAAGAAACCCCCCCTCTTGGTTTTTGTCCGACCACGTGAACATTCCGCTGCGCGATTCTAACAAGTGGTATCAGAGCTTGCTTTGATAGTCATTCAAATTTTTCGAAAATGGCCGGACAAAATCAAACTTTTGCCGAAGGTGCGTCTATCAACAGACCCCCACTTTTTGTGGGTTAAAATTATCCTTTCTAGAAAGTAAGAATGCAAAATTTCTAGAGTCTGTTGATAGAGGCGTTTGGGACGCTATTTTAAACGGTCCATATGTTCCTAAAGTTATTGAGAACGGTGTTGACGTTCCAAAACCTTTTTCTAGATGGACTACAGAGGAAAACAGAAAAGCTCAATTTGACGTTAGGGCTAGAAATATAATTTCATCTGCTCTAACCCTTGACGAGTTTTACAGGATTTCTGTTTGTAAAAGTGCTCAGAAAATGTGGGAAATGCTTAGAGTGACCCACGAAGGTACCGACGACGTTAAGAGAGCACGTAAAAACTCCTTAATCCATGAATACGAGATGTTCCGAATGCAACAAGGCGAATTGATATTTGACGTACAAAAGCGTTTCACTCATATTGTGAACCATCTCACCGGACTAGGTAAAAACTTTGACATTGATGAATTAAATGTTAAAATTTTAAAATCTTTGGATAGGAAATGGCAACCTAAGGTGACGACCATCTTGGAGTCACAAAACCTTGCCACAATGTCAATGGCAGCGCTCTTTGGAAAGCTAAGAGAGCATGAGCTTGAGCTTGGAAGGCTAAACGATGAAGAAGTGTTAGAATCGCGCAACGAAATGTTCGCGTGGTCGGACAAAAACCAAGAGGGGGGTGAATTGGTTTCTTAATAAAAATTAGGTTTTCAAAATTTTCCCCAAATTTTACCGATTAAAAACTGTGTAAATGTAAATAGAGAAGAGAAGAGAATCTTACACAAGAGATTTATACTGGTTCGGATCAAAAGACCCTACGTCCAGTTGCTAATCACTCAAAAGAGGATTAACGCTGTCACTATAAACAAGTTGTTACAAACAGATTACAATTGAGAAGATAAAGATACGAAAACACCTCTCTTGAAATCCACAAGAGATGATGAACAACTTTCCCTAGAGACGGCACAACACACAATCCACTAAGAACTCCACTTAGTGATTCTTATCGCTTCTAGCCCACACCAGGTTCCAAAAGCCCCCTTTCCTTGCAACAAACAGTTCTCTGGCACTCACAGCACTTAACTTTTGTATGGAAAAGGTTGTTCTTCTTTTCTGAGTGCCATAGAAGAGTTTAAGTAGAGAAATTAGGGTTTAGGAATTGGGAATTTCGAAACTAGGGTTCTTGGAAATAGGGTTTTCGAAAATAGGGTTGATTTGAAGTTTAAAATAAAAAACAGACTGAAATAATCGATTAAAACATAGCCAAAATCAACAGAACCCAAATCCTCTCTGTTTTAATCGATTAAAAGGAGTTTTAATCGATTATCATACCTGATAATCGATTATCTGGAGATTTAATCGATTAAAGCTGTGAGTTGATAAAGAAAATGGTTTTTCTCACTGTTTTAATCGATTATTTCCCTATATAATCGATTAAAGCCGAGCCTGGATGATAAATTTGAGCTTTTTGAAGCTTCTAAGGTGTAGACTATGTACCTAGCTATCTTAAACTCTAATATTACGGACTCAATCTAATTAAAACAGAGTTATTACAATACAAAACAAGTCTTCAACACACTAAGTCTTTGAGTTCTTGAATCATCATCAAAATCAACAATCTTCATGTTCATCAAGTGCAACATCAAGTCCTTGAATGTTCAACAATCTCCCCTTTTTGATGATGATCAAAATTATCTTTTAAATCCCTTGTAATAACCTTGTTTTATCTGTCATACTAACAAACACATCAAACATACCAGATAATATTTAAATGCAATTCATAAGAGGCTTTAAATTTTTCTCCCCCTATTTTGATTATAATAAAAAAGAACTTTGCAATAACAATCATAAGAGCTCCCCCTCAAAATATGCATAAGTTGAAGATAACTCCCCCTCAATCAAAGCAATAACAAAACATCATATTTTATTTCAGAAATGTCAATACAGTACATCACAAGAGAAGAAAATAAACAACAAATTTAAAATTCTTCACTATCATCATCATTAAAGTGTTCATCAAATCTATTTTCTAAACGACACACTTTATCATCTATATCAGATATACGGCGAATTATT